CGGGGCATGCTGTGGTCTCAACACGAGGAAATGGCGGGAACAATTTATGACGAAGCTACAAATGAAAACCTAGGACAATAAAAGGAGAGCGTGTCTGCTAAGAGTCTTTGTCGGCAGACTAGACAAAAACACAATTAGAAAGGAAAAAAAAAGGTGTAATAAACAGTTCAAATACTTGAGTGGCTGGACTTCGCCATGTTGGAAGGGAATGCTATGTTATTGCCGGAAATCGGGCTGTCCTAAACCGAAATGTGTGATATCCAAAAGATTGCATAAAGACACGCTCTGCTTTCACTGTCCTTTCTGTTCATTCCAAGTTCCAAAACATAATAAAACCTTGTTCCAACATTTATTTAACAACGCTTTTACGCAGTCCATCATTTATTATTCTTTATCCATAAAAAAGCCAGTCTGAAGAAAAAAATATAAATCTTTTTTGGCATTTCCAGAAATATCAAAGTAAAGTTTTAAACTTCAAACTATTTACAAACTCAGGCATTTTGTCGTTTTTCGAGGAACGTTTTCGTTTAAAGGTTAAATACTCTTTTGAAGTCTTAACATTTTTGCAGCTTTAGATTAGAAAAATGAAGTATGATTTAAAGATTTTATTTCTGCAGTTCAACAGAAACAAACAAAGTTTAATCTTTGATATGCGTTCTTTGCTATTTGATGCCATACAGAAACAAACAAAGTTTAATCTTTGATATGCGTTCTTTGCTATTTGATGCCATACAGAAACAAACAAAGTTTAATCTTTGATATGCGTTCTTTGCTATTTGATGCCATACAGAAACAAACAAAGTTTAATCTTTGATATGCGTTCTTTGCTATTTGATGCCATACAGAAACAAACAAAGTTTAATCTTTGATATGCGTTCTTTGCTATTTGATGCCATACAGAAACAAACAAAGTTTAATCTTTGATATGCGTTCTTTGCTATTTGATGCCATACAGAAACAAACAAAGTTTAATCTTTGATATGCATTCTTTGCTATTTGATGCCATACAGAAACAAACAAAGTTTAATCTTTGATATGCGTTCTTTGCTATTTGATGCCATACAGAAACAAACAAAGTTTAATCTTTGATATGCGTTCTTTGCTATTTGATGCCATACAGAAACAAACAAAGTTTAATCTTTGATATGCGTTCTTTGCTATTTGATGCCATACAGAAACAAACAAAGTTTAATCTTTGATATGCGTTCTTTGCTATTTGATGCCATACAGAAACAAACAAAGTTTAATCTTTGATATGCGTTCTTTGCTATTTGATGCCATACAGAAACAAACAAAGTTTAATCTTTGATATGCGTTCTTTGCTATTTGATGCCATTTGAATACTCTGATGACACACCCGCTTTCACACCGCAGATTTATTATCCCATTATTTTAGAAAACAAAAAAATCTTACGCACCAAACGCACTTGAATATTTTGTTAAAAACAACTCATCTCATTTAGAGCAGTTATCTGGATTTGTATTGTGTGAAATCAGTGTCATCGCATGTCCTTCATCTTTTACTTGAAAAATACGAAAAGTATACATTTGAGGGGAGGGTTGGCGTGGGGCTGAAAATTTAAAATACCGCTGTGTCACCTGCAACGAGTCTATGTACCAAGTTTCATCTTAATATGTTGACAAGAAGTGGGTCCATTAGCCGTCCGAAGGTTTTGCCAAATACCCAACCAGAAACGCTTGAGCAAAGTGAAGTAAATAAATATAATTTTAAAAAATCAAAATTTGTTTAAAATAAAAACATTATATTTTATAGAGTGTTGTTATTTGTCCGGAATATTTATAGTTTATTTTGAAACTCTTAGTAACTTCTTAAAGTTGAAAAAAAATTATCCGAAATGAGAAGTATTTAATCATTAAATGACCTTATGCCTGTGAATTAAAAATTCAGTCGAAAGAATGTTTTTTAGCGATTTAAAAAATAAATTCTATTTATTTTAATTTTATTTTATTCTATTTTTTTCCATGCATCTAAAAAAAAGTATTTTTTAAATTCAAAATTTTGTTTTTCTTCTATATAATTGTGGTCATTACACGAAATAATTTGAGAAGGTGCGTGATAGAGCTACTTATCGTATTAATTCAGTGCATTAACAAATATTTGTGTACTCCTTGGCAAATTGTAATTGACACTTCGTGAATTGATGATTTTTTTGTTGTTGAAAGAAGCAAGCAAATGAATAATCTCAAATAATTACCTGGGATTTTACGAGGGCGTGGAATTTCTTTGATATATTACATATCCACCGTATGAGAAACCCAGCAGCAGCTTTATGAAATGAAATTATCAGTTATCCCAAATCTTAACTGCAGGATAAAGTCAGTGTTCTAAAACATACGTCATTGTCGATACACACTTACATACTTGTGTACACACTCACCACCGGAAAATTTGTGTTTCAGAATTGTGAATAAACTTATGTAGAGAACCAGTGAAACCCGCCATGGAACCATTAAGAGAAACATTAAGACCAACATATGGGAACACGAAAAGAACCACTGAGAACAACATATGGGACAATAAAAAGCACCACTGAGACCAACCCATGGACCCATAAAAAAAACCCACTGAGACCAACCCATGAACCCATGAAAAGAACCACTGAAACCAACCCGTGGCACCTTTAAAAGAACCACTGAGACCAACACATGGACCTATTAAAAGAACCACTGAGAACAACCCAAGGACCCATAAAAAGAACCACTGGTGTAAGTGGAAAAAGAATACTGAGACCAGTGTTTAGTGAGAGGGATTACGAAAACACCCTATAAGCAGCCCCCTTGTCTCTCAGTCTCACATAGCCCCCTTGTCTCTCAGTCTCACATAGCCCCCTTGTCTCGCAGTCTCACACAGGTCGATCTAAGAAACTGCGTATTAGTTTGTCTTTCCGTAGTATTAATTGATTTTTTTATCCATGCATTAACCTTATTTCCCTGGTCCTTAAGAAGCACCCCCCCCCACCCACAAATCCATCACAATCATACTAAAATTTGTAAGCGAATCTTTATTTCATAACTAACTTTCATTGCTTTTAACTCGGTTGCTGTTAGACTTTGAAAAGAATTTCACACATTAACGAGTATAGTGATTCTTAACATAATTGATAAATAATTTAATTTTCTATATATTAACCACAGGAGAAGTATAACTACAACTGTAAATGTGTGCACCCAGCCTTTGTCCTCACTCCACTCACAAGGCTCAATATGGACGAATGTGACGCAACATCAGGTTGGTAAGCTTGAATGTACTTTCTTTACTGTACTTTTTCTAATTAACAAGGAAGACAGAGTAAGACTGAATTTTTTTTTAAAAACAGTACATTTTTGAATATTTATTATCTTAGGATGAACTCCGCTCTGATGTTTTTATTTCTACTAAGCTTTGGTCAGCCATAGATTTGACGGCCAACCATAGATTTAATGATGAGCAAGAGACTTAACGGCCAACCATAGGTTTAATGATGAGCCCTAGACTTAATGGTTTATCATAGATTTAATGATGAGCCCTAGCTTTAACGGTCGATCATAGATTTAACGGTCAATCATAGATTTATTGATGAGCCCTAGATTTAACGGTCAACCATAGATATAACGGTCAACCTTAGATTTAATGGGCAATCATACATATAACGGTCAACCATAGATTTAACGGTCAATCGTAGATTTAACGGTCAATCATATATTTAACGGTTAACCATAGATTTAACGGTTAACCATAGATTTAACAGTCAACCATAGATTTAATGGCCAACCATAGATTTAACGGTCAACCATAGATTTAACGGTCAACCATAGATTTAACGGTCAATCATACATTTAACGGTCAACCATAGATTTAATGGTCAATCATAGATTTAACAGTCAATCATTCATTTAACGGTCAACAATAGCTTTAACGGCCAACCATAGATTTAACGGTCAACCATAGATTTAACGGCTAACCATAGATTTACCATAGATTTAACGGCCAACCATAGATTTAACGGTCAACCATAGATTTAACGCTCAATCATAGATTTAATGGCCAACCATAGATTTAACAGTCAACCACAGATTTAACAGTCAACCATAAATTTAACGGTCAATCATAGATTTAACGGCCAACCATACATTTAACGGCCAACCATAGATTTAACTGTCAACCATAGATTTAATGGTCAACCCTAGATTTAACGGGCAACCCTAGATTTAACGGAATGGTAATAAAAGAAATATTTTCAACACAACAAAAGCAGTCTAAAATTATTTTTTTAATCTCTTAATTACAAAATGTTCCTGAATTTTTCTACTTATTAGTTGTTGTTTATTACATTTACTGATGAACATGTAATTGACACCAATGTAAGGAGTAGCACATCCATTAATGAGTAAACAAGGATTTATAAAAGAAAGTACCACTTCCTTAAAAATGGAGATATAGCAGTTTGTTGCAGCGTGGAATACCATTTGGTGTAGTCGAGGCGCTGTCATACCATTTTATTATTTTTAATGGTACTTGTGTTATTTTAAGGTGTGCCTTGTTTAAGTCATATTTGCCGTTTGTTACATTAGGGCACGGTTTTCGTATTCTATGAAACAACCGTTTTTTTTCAAAAAATGAATTGTTTAGACTATTGTAAAGGTGAAATGTAATGTTATTGTTTTGTTACCACTGGCATTTCAAAACAAAATATTTTTGCATTTGATTTCAGGTTTTTTAGTCTTTATTTTTAAACAGTTCATCTAAAATGTGTTGTTTTTTTTTCTCTTTCAATTTAACAGTGGTTCAAAGGCGCTCTTTAAATCATGACCGATAGACATTTTGAGGAAAATATATTCACGCAAATACTGTAGATTCCACCTGTACCCAACGCGAGTATTTACAGTTAACAATGGAAACAGCTGCTCTTAACCATAATAATGCCAGTGTTTTAGGGAATGGTACTCACAACGATTATCTGAACACCGCATCGGCCCTTTTGTCCGAGGGCGACCAGCTGATGCTGGACATAGAGCGAGCCCTCAAGGTCTACTACTCTACATTCCTGATCGCTGTCGGGTCGGTCTTCAACATTCTGTCCATCGTCATCCTCAGTCGGGGAGCTTTCAGGAACTCGACCACCTCCGTGTACCTTCGGTTCTTGGCGTGTGTCGACATGTTCGTTCTCTACAACGGACTCAGCCGCCATTTCGTGTCCGGGGTCTCAGGCTACAACATCAGGAACCTGGACAGATCCTTCTGTAAATTCAACCAATGGTCGAGCTCGTTCGCGCCGGATATCAGTGCATGGATCCTGGTCGCCGTGACCACGGAGCGGGTGGTGTCCATTGTTTGGCCGCATAAGGTTAGGACGGTTTGCTCAAAGACAACAGCTGCCGTACTGGTGACGATCATCTGTCTCGTCATTATGGTGTCCAATCTACCACTGTTGATTTTCTATGGCAATAAACAGGTACAGTGTATATATTTGAGTTTTATTGTTAAAATATTAAGAATTTTTAAAAGTTCTTGTAATTGTCATATGGATTTGGCATTGTTTGGCAATATAAAAAATGGAAGTTAGCAAATTTGAGCTACACAGACTACCGTAGACTTGTCATAATTGATACAAAAATTGTGTGTTTTAATTATTTCAGTTGTATTCCATACTGAACTAACTAACGTTGAAATGCTAAAACGACATGCCCACTTTTAAAGTCGGGCAACTTAACGCAGTATCACGTCATCAAAATATAGACAGAGACACATTTTGGACTAAGACCTAACAAAACCATATACAAATGGATTAAGTGATCCTGACTAGGATGCATAATTATAATAAAACCATTTCTAATTGGTACGAAAGAAAAACATCTTTGTTCTAGTGAATGTAAATACCACAGCTGGAGACCGACTTCTAAAAAAAAAAAAGGGCCCATTATTGTGTAAGTGAAATTTTGTTTATGAAACAGTCATGCTGACAGCTGTGTCTTCAAGTTACAAATAAAAATGTCTTTAAGTGACACATATAAATGTCTTATGGTGACAAATATAAATGTCTTAAAGTGACAAACATTAGTGTCTTATGGTGAAAAATATAAATGTCTTATAGTGAAAATTATATGTTTTATAGTGACAAATAAAAATGTCTTAAAGTGACAATCATTAGTGTCTTATGGGGAAAAATATAAGAATCTTATAGTGAAAATTATATATGTCTTATATTGACAAATATAAATGTCTTTTAGTGACAAATATAAATGTCTTATTGCGACAAATATAAATGTCTTATATTGACGAATATAAAGTTCTTGTAGTGACAAATATAAATGCCTTATAGTGACAGATGTAAATGTCTTATAGTGACAAACATAAAATGTCTTATAGTGACAAATATAAATGTCTTTTGGTGACAAATATAAATGTCTTATGGTGACACATATAAATGTCTTTTAGTGACAAATGTAAATGTCTTATAGTGACAAATATAAATGTCTTATGGTGACAAATATAAATGTCTTATAGTGACAAATATAAATGTCTTTTAGTGACAAATGTAAATGTCTTATAGTGACAAACATAAAATGTCTTATAGTGACAAATATAAATGTCTTATGGTGACAAATATATATTTCTTATGGTGACAAATATAAATGTCTTTTAGTGACAAATATAAATGTCTTATAGTGACAAATATAAATGTCTTATGGTGACAAATATAAATGTCTTATAGTGACAAATATAAATGTCTTAAAAAAAGACTTGACTTTTCTTTTTCAGGTCACCGACCCTGTGACCAATGTCACAGTGACCCTAAAATGTGTCCTCTTATCGCAGGACTATGAAACGTTCATGGCCACCATATGGTACTGGTTGGACCTCCTCAAGTTCGTCCTGCTGCCTAGCTCCATCCTCATCTTCTTCAACATCCTCATCATCATTTTTGTCATTCGCAGTCGCAAGAGAGTCGAAAAACTCGTCTCAAGGCGTTCCTCAACAAACTGGAAAACCTTGGAGACTTCTTTCACGATTTCGAGCGAAAACACTTTCCCGCGGTACTTAAAAAACTTTTCAGCAAACAACCGAATTATTGGTTCTAACAAAGAAGTTTCGTTGACCATTACTCTACTCGTGATCAACGCTACGTTTGTCATCTGTAATACCCCCATCATGGTGTACCTACTGGGCAGTGAGCACTGGTTTCCCCCGGGATTTCTACCTGCGGAGAGGCTGACGCTCACAGCATCCGTCATGGCCATGTACACCAACAACGCGGCCAATTTTTTACTCTACTGCGCAACGGGGTCGAGATTCCGCGCCGAAATCAGGCACATGTTCGCATCGGTGCACAGATTCGGCGCGTCGTTCAGGAGCAGTTCCCGCAACAGGAAGAACAGTCTGGGGAGTGATGGTGGCAGGAGTTTTCGACTTGAGGATCAGCTGGCTAACGTGATGGGATCGAGGGAGACGTGTTACACATATCATTAGACCACAACGCCCAGTTGTGAAGCTTTTAGGGTTTCAAACTACGTGCTTACTTTTGATAACACCTCACCAGTGTACACTTATGTTAACACCTCACCATTGTACACTTATGTTAACACCTTACCATTGTACACTTATGTTATACCTCACCATTGTACACTTATGTTACCACCTCACCATTATACACTCATGTTACCACCTCACCATTGTACACTTATGTTACCACCTCACCATTGTACACTTATGTTACCACCTCACCATTGTACACTTGTTACCACCTCACCATTGTACACTTATGTACCACCTCACCATTGTACTCTTATATTACCACCTCACCATTGTACACTTATGTTACCACCTAACCATTGTAAACTTATGTTACCACCTCACCATTGTACACTTATGTTACCACCTCACCATTGTACACATATGTTATCACATCACTTCATTGTACGTATCATTATTCTCAAATCGTCTTTAACTCACGAGACGAACGTGTTTCTATTCATCTTCAGTTTGGAAAGTCTTGTATTGTTTCAAAATGGTTGAGAGTCCCGGAAAGACCATTTGTGTGGACGATTATATTTCTTTTCGAAAAACAAATTTTAAAGTTGTTAATGATGCTTGATGAAACATCTAGACCAAAGGGAACATTGAACAATATTCAATTTTATTGTAATTCCCTAAAATACACGTTGATGGATTTATGTCACTACGTGAATTTCAAAAATTGTTGCGATTCATATAAATATACAAATATAGTGGATAATGCAAATTGATATGGAAGAGCTGTCTCAATCATGTGATATGATAATTCAAAGGAAGTATTACGGAGGTATGAAAATTCAACTGAAATGTTATGGAGGTATGAAAATAAAATTAAAATGTTATGGAGGTATGACAGTTCGAATGAATTGTTATGGAGGTATGACAGTTCAAATGAAATGTTATGACGATATCAACTATTATGAAATGTTTTGTAGGTCTACAAATTTAGATGAAATGTTATGACGATATCAACATTTAATGAAATGTTTTGTAGGTCTACAAATTTAGATGAAATGTTATCGAAAAATGAAAATTGAAATGAAATGTTTTGTAGGTCTACAAATTTAGATGAAATGTTATCGAGATATGAACATTGAAATAAAATGTTTTGTAGGTCTACAAATTTAGATGAAATGTTATCGAGATATGAAAATTGAAATGAAATGTTTTGTAGGTCTACACATTTAGATGAAATTTTATCGAGATATGAAAATTGAAATGAAATGTTTTGTAGGTCTACACATTTGGATGAAATGTTATCGAGATATGAAAATTGAAATGAAATGTTTTGAGGTATGAACATTTGTAACGGCAAATAAAATGCTATCATTTTTAATCAGCATATGCTTGGATTAAAAAAAAACTAGTTTGGACTTGAAGACCTATTTAACAAAAGTTGTAAAAAAGCAATGACAATTACATACATGTATATTTATAATACATTGGTATAGTGGAATTTTCACGGAACATAAAAAATACTCGTCGGTTACTGGCTACATGATGATGACGTGATAAAAGAAGCGGGTAAAAAAATATATATCTCTCATTATGTTTGTAAAACTAGATTAACATGACTGTAAATAAAACGTACCTATTTCATGACTTGTAGTTTAATATCAAATTGCACATTGCCCAAATGGTGTATATTCATTTAAGATATCAGCTACTGAAATTATTATTCTAACACTAGAAATAACACGCTAAACAATGGAGGGGGGGGGGTGTGCGGCAAAGCTTGATGTGCGGCAAAGCTTGATCTTGCCAAATACAAAAATTGCTTGAGGAAACATTCGATCAAGTCATTCTACAAAAGTTGCTTGAGAAAACATACGTTCAAGTTATAACAATAAACCCTGGAAAAACACGGAGGCACACCACCACAGGAGGCTACCCCCTCCCCAAACCCCTCCACTCATTCCCTCGGGAGCCTTCAGCTCACTCAATCTCTGTCCCCTACTCCATCTCTCCTTCCCACGGTAAAAGTAAATAAAAAATATTTTTGTTTATAAAAAAATAAAATGAAATAAAAATAACTTACTTTTAAATAATGCTCTTTAGTGGTAAATACTGATAATTTTTGTTCTTCCATTTGCGCAACTAAGTAAACAGAGTTGCTTATCTAAGGAACTTCTATAATTTAAGAGGGCTTTACATATACTAGCCGCTAGGCCAGCGTTTCTCAACCTGTGGGTCGCGACCCCTTTGGGGGTTGCGCGACCCTTTCCCATGGGTCGCCTAAGACCATCTGAAAACACATACCATTACAGCTATGAAGAAGCAACGAAAATAATTGTGTGGCTGGGGGTCGCCACGACACGAGAAAAGGTATTTAAGGGTCGCGGCACTATGAAGGTTGAGAACAACTGCGCTAGGTGATCTATTCCACCCGTTTGCCGAAGAGACGTACAATGGCTATCTGATTGGTCCAGTGAACAGCTTTGTATTCTTAAATTAACATTTTACAAAAATGATATCCCTTGTTTGACCTCATTTCAACGGAGATGTGCACAAGAGCACATAAGATTTTTCCATCACGACACTGACTTCTTGCACGATAATATGCCAGCGTGAGTGAATTATTATGACAAATTATTTAGATTTTCGGCATCATATCTCCATATGGAATCAATTAAAAAAAAACAACTTCCTCAATCTCCATTCATTTCTATGCTCATATTTGACGTTGTTGTTGAAAAATCTTAATTTGCAAAAATTATTAAATTTTTGTACCTACTATCATTTTCAAAGTTATTGTTATGAGCAACTTGACTTCCGCCTCTAACATAGAGCGCCTTGTTTACACATTTGATATCCTCCAACACACACGATTTGGAATGTGTGATGATTGGATGTTTTGTCATGTCTGCTAAAGGAGGCATCTGGCGAACATCCTTCCCGTTTTTCCATTTTAAGCTTAATATACGTTTCTTCCATTGTTTCTTTAAGCGCATGTACACCAAGTCTCTAGATTTGTACATAGGTTTTGCAACATTTGTGTGACACTGGTCGGAATAATATTTCCAGTGTTTATGCATGGCGTCAATTTATAACATAAAAAAAAGTTTATAATTGAAGCTCTCAACTGAAGTACATCTATAACTCGTCTTTGCACGCGAAGATGACTAATTCTTCTACATGAGTAGTAGCCTTGACTTGAGCTGTGTTTTGATTACAGTGCGGGAGAATTGCCCCCTTCTTCAGCCTCACTCTCTCTTCCTTACCTAATTGTTCCAATGGCAAGTTGCCCCATTCTTCAGCCTCACTCTCTCTTCCTTACCTAATTGTTCCAATGGCAAGTTGCCACATTCTTCAGCCTCACTCTCTCTTCCTTACCTAATTGTTCCAATGGCAAGTTGCCACATTCTTCAGCCTCACTCTCTCTTCCTTACCTAATTGTTCCAATGGCAAGTTGCCCCATTCTTCAGCCTCACATTCTTCAGCCTCACTCTCTCTTCCTTACCTAATTGTTCCAATGGCAAGTTGCCACATTCTTCAGCCTCACTCTCTCTTCCTTACCTAATTGTTCCAATGGCAAGTTGCCCCATTCTTCAGCCTCACTCTCTCTTCCTTACCTAATTGTTCCAATGGCAAGTTGCCACATTCTTCAGCCTCACTCTCTCTTCCTTACCTAATTGTTCCAATGGCAAGTTGCCACATTCTTCAGCCTCACTCTCTCTTCCTTACCTAATTGTTCCAATGGCAAGTTGCCCCATTCTTCAGCCTCACTCTCTCTTCCTTACCTAATTGTTCCAATGGCAAGTTGCCCCATTCTTCAGCCTCACTCTCTCTTCCTTACCTAATTGTTCCAATGGCAAGACTTAGTCAAGACTATGGAAACTTATCAGAATGCAGTAGATGACCATTATTGTTTTTGTGTGTCTCACTGTGCTATTTATGCGTTCCACAATGTCGGAATATTTATTGTGTCAATATTATAATGCCCATGGGACTTCATATCCGTTTGATTTCAGAGTTTGCCTTCTCTTAGATGAGTTGTCATCCAAGGTTAACGGGTCCCATCCACCGGGTTGCTGTTGTTGTGTTTGCTCATCTGGGTTTTTGTTGGGGATGAACTCCAGTCCACAAGCTTGTGACCACTCGACCACTCGGCCATCAGGTGTAACAGTAACAGTAAGAGAATAGTAGATGGCATAGCTATTGAATGCATTCCTTCGAAAAAAAAAAAATCAAGATAAAACAGTAGCAAATAACGCACCCTGTTACAAATCCTAATTCATTTAAAGTCCATGATGAAGGCTCAGAAAAAGATCCGACTAAATGAGGTAGTTAATTAGAGATGAAAATACACAAACAGACAACAAAGTTTTAGCCTGCTTTTGCCTTTTTCTGATGTCGTTTTTTTCATCCGAAGACTTAGTCCCTTTTTTAGATTTAAACTATTTTAGTCTGAAGCATGACAATGACGTCATCCATTCTTTGGCTTCATCATATACAGAGTGAAAAGGGAAAATCCGTTTCTGTAGCAGACTTTAATTATTAAAACATAACACAAAATGTAAGACAATTTTAAAAAAATGAAAATGGTTTAGTAAATATTTAAAAAAAAAGAGATAAATCAGAAATTACAGACGTAAAGCGTCAATTCGCACGATCACATTGTCAATCGTCCATTTGATGCAATTTCTGTTTGAAGCCTTGTCACAACTTTAAAATAACTATTTGATCAAATTCCAACTTTTGTCTAAAAATAGAAACCACGCACAAAAGAGTGCGTTTATACAAGAATTTGACGCATAATTTGATCGTGTGAACTGACGCAAAGAGTCCAATATTGTGAACAATCTTGTGAACTCTCCACACTTTGATGCTAAAAGACATTTTGTGAACTTTCCATACCGCGTTACTCAAAGAAATTTTGTAACAAAGGCGTATTATAACAAAAAAATAAATGGGAATGTAATGATCAAATGTGAAAGGGCATGCAAATAATGATG